ATTTAATTTTTATTTCCCCTGTTGACTAATGAGGTTGAGAGCCTTTTCGTATGTTTATTGGCCGTTGGGCATCTTCTTTTGTGAAGTATTAGTTTGTGCATTTGTCTTTTTTTTTCTCCTGTTGGGTTGTCTGTCTTTTTCTTATTAATCTGAAAGATTTTTTATATATTTTGAATAAAAGTTTCTGGTTATATGGTTGCAAATATCTTCTTTGACACTGTGACTTGCTTCTTCACACTTAATGGTGTCTTTTGATGAGGAAACGTTTGATATCACCCCATTTACGTATCTTCTCCTTTATTGTTAGTGCTTTTTTATGCTCTGTGTAAGAAATCTTTCTTACTCCAAGGTCATTCACATTTTATTCCATGTTACCTTCTTAAAACTTTGTTTCACTTTTCACACTTACCTCTACAATCCATGTGGAGCTTACTCTGTGTATGATGTGAGTTAAGGGCCAAGATTTACCTTTTTCTACATGGTCATTCAGTTGTCCCAGCACCACTTACTGAAGAGATTATTTTTCTCCATTGTTCTGATGTATTAGGTTGATGCAAAAGTAATTGTAGTTTTTACCATGACAAAACCATTAATGGCCAAAACTGCAATTACTTTTGCACCAACCTAATACATCCTTTGTCATAAATCAGACTTTGTAAATTTGTGGAACTTTCCTGGACCCTAAACTGCTCAACTGGCCCATTTTTCTTTCCCTGCTGTAGTCTACTGGCTTAGTCTTCTGTAGCTGCATAAGTCTTGATATCTGGGGATGTAAGCCCTTCAATTTTGCACTTCTTTCATTAAGATTGCCTTGGACAATCTTGGCCCTTTGCATTTCCATGTAAATTTTAGAACCAGCTTGTCAATATCACAGAGAGCCTGCTGGGATTTTAATTTAGATTGATTAAATCTATAGATCAATTTGAGGATAATTAACATATTTAACAATACTGAGCCAACCAGTCTATGAACACTTACATAAGTTTAATTGCATATCAGCTCCGCACTGGTCACTGTGCTGAGCTCAGATGGTTTCTTACCCTTGAAGTTCTTATAGATGTGTAAATGAACACATAAACACAAAATGTAATCTAATTTGATAATCTTATCACCGAAAATGAGTTCATATTTACTAAGGACTTTACATATATTACTTCATTTATACCTCGTCATGATACTTTGAGGTAAATGCTGTTATTATGTCCATTATGTAGATATTTTTAATCTCACTAGGGTCCAAGAGAAAGAGCACCCAGGTCTTTATGGGAAAACCAGAGGGAACATTACACAAAGAGTGGAGATTTAGCTGACTTCTGAAGTTTGCCAGGAATGGAGGAGCTTGATCATTCCAAGGTATATGAGTAGCACTTGAAAAAATACCATAGGGTGACATGACAGGGATTTTCAGGAAACTTCTACAGAGTGAATCCCAGGATTGAAATGTAGAATGGCAGGGGAATGACAACATGGTTTGTGAAGGTGGAGAGGCAGAGTCTGAGGGCATCTTGGTCTGTGGAGTTTGAGCTTTGTCCTGAAGTCAGTGGCTGTGAAGCAGGGATTGTCTGTCTTGGGTTGGGTTCCCAGAGGCTGATTATATTAATTTCCCAGGACTACTGTACAAATTACCATAAATTGGTGGCTTGAAACAACATAAATTTATTCTCTTATATTTCTGGAGGCTAGACATCTGAAATCAAGGTACCTGGCAGTCTTGTTTTCTTCTAAAGGGCTCTGTGGGAAAGTTGGCTCCATGCCTCTCGCCTGGCTTCTGGTGGTCGTCAACAGTCCTTAGCTTTCCGCGGCTTATAGATGCATGGCTCTAATATCTGCCTCTGCCATCTTGTGGCATTCTTCCTTGTGTCTCTCTGTGTCTTTTCTTATAGGGACACAAGTCATATGGGATTTAGGGCCCACTGAATCCAGCATGACCTCATCTTAACAAACTATAACTGCAAAGACCCTATTTCCAAATGAGGCCACATTCCCAAGTATGGCTTAGAACTTCAACATATCTTAATCCGTAACACAAACTTCAGATGAGGATTTAAATGCAAGTGATTCTTTTAAGAAAGTGCTCCCAGGAGAAACTAGTAAGAGGAAGGGGGGGGAAGCAGGACAGGTGACCTGCCAGCCTGTGATCCTAGGCAAGGTCCCTTCAGGTAGTTTCAGTCTTACCTTGCAGGGCCATTTTGGACTGTAAAGTACCTCTAAGAATTGTCCTCACCTGAGGCAAGGGAGCTGGACCTTTCATTTTAGGTACAGCAGGCCCCGGTAACCTGAGGACCAGAAACACAACTTAAGAGCCACAGGTGCTGGCCACTGGAAGCAGTGATATATTAGTGCCAAGGTCACATTAAAATGGTAAAAAGTCATTTGAAGAAATCTGGGTGGAGTATCCCTACTGTTTGTTACTTTGTCCTTTGTTCCCCTTCCTCCAGAATTGTGTATAATGGCCTTGAAGACTACCCAACCCCACCCTAGAGAGTCTAAGACTGCTTTTTGGCTGGCTGGCTGTCCTTCAGAGATTCTCAGCTGTCTCCTGACAGCATAACCACCACTTGTTTGCTTGACATTGAGCACCACACTTTTCTTACTCTTCTTTGCTTTATTATGTTTTTTTCCCTCGTTCCTCCTTCTTTTTTTGACAGAGTCATGCTCTGTCACCCAGGCTGGACAGTGGTGCAATCTTGGCTCACTGCAACCTCTGCCTAACAGGTTCCAGCAATTCTCCTGCCTCAGCCATGCAAGTAGCTGGGATTACAGGCGCATGCTGCCATGCCCGGCTAACTTTCTGTAAAGATAGGGTGTCGCCATGTTAGCCAGACTTGTCTTGAACTCCTTGCCTCAAATGATCCACCCATGTCGGCCTCCTAAAGTGCTGGGATTACAGGTGTGAGCTGCCACTCCTGGCCCCTTCTTCCCTCCTTTCTATCTGATCATTGTTTAGACATCAGTAGCCAATCAGAATGCTCCTTTACTTTTGTGGGCTAAACCGGCCAATCACAGCATGATATTTTCCTTCTTTATGTCTTAAGAGCTCTTTGCTGTGTCATTCTGTTGGTGGCTCATGGGCAGGTACTACATTATCCAAGGTAGTGGTTTTATTTGCTTGAGTTTTAGAACACTTCATTTTCAGGACTAAAATTAGTTTAAGGAATTTGGAAAACTAAATGCTGCTCTTCAACAGGAGGCTGCATATCATATTCACAAATATGTCCAAATGAATTGATTGCTTTAAGTTTAAAAAATTAATAATCAGTCAATATTTATGGAAGATCCATAACATGATGAATATATTCAGTTTTTGAAGCCATGGGCAGAATATTAAACTGGGAAGAATGGGCCTTCAATTCTGACCCTAAGTTGGCCGCTGAATGGTTTTATGATCCTAGGTATGTCTGTTGATCTTCCTATGTTTTACTTTCCTATCTGTGAAAATGGAGGGCTGAATTAGAAGATACATGAGATCCCTTGAAGTTCTAATAGTCTATAACTCAATAACTAATTTCCAGAATCTTAGCACTTTTATGCAGGCAGTAAATTAATCTAAATCCCAATTTATATCAATTTAAAGAAACTTGAACACCTATTAGATGCCAGGCTCTGTGCTAGTTTCTGGGCATTAAAAGAGAACAAAAACCCAGCACCTCTCCTGTATTAGCATAGTCCAGTGGAGAAGGTGAATCAACAAAGAATTGCAATTCAGTACAAAAAATTATTGCAGTAAAAATTTCCATCTCAAGAGACTGGGGATCCAATGGGAGGGAGGACCACCATTGCCTTGTTGAGAAGTCCCTTGAGCTAGATTTTAATGGAAAAATCGTTCTCTGCTTAGATGTAGGAAGGAAGAGTATAACAGATTTATAATTCCAGCTGCTGTAACAGCTACAGCATAAGTTTATTTCCAGCTCATGGAAAGAACAATATGGATGTTTCTGGTCAGCAGGTGATTTTCTGTGGGGTTGTTTAAAAACCCAGTTTCCTTCCCTCTTTTGGTTCCACGGCTCTCCTTCTGGGGCATCAGAGGCGTCTGCTGTACACTGCATTAAGCAGGCAGAGGCAAGAGAGTGAGAGTGGAGGGGGATGTGGGAAGTTTGTACAGGTCAGGCTTGGAAGTAGAGTATAGCAGTAATCCCTTTTCGAGGTTTTGCTTTCTGTGATTTCAGTTACCTGTAGTCAACTGTGGTCCAAAAATATTAATTGGAAAATTCCAAAAATAAACAATTTATACGTTTTAAATTGCATGATGTTTTGAGTATTGTTATAATTTTTCTCTTATTATTATTGATTTCCTACTGTCCCTGATTTATAAACTTTATCTTAGATACATATGTATATGTATTTATATATGTATAGGAAAACCATAGTAAGCATAGGGTTTGGTACTATCCATGATTTCAGGCATCCACTTGGGGTCTTGGCATGTGTCTTGGCCTTATCTGCAGGGGGCTACTGTATATCGTGTCTGTCCCCAGCTTCCACTGGCAGAACTTGGTTATAAAGCTGACTTAACTGCAAAGGAGGCTGGGAAATGTGGTCTAGCTGAGTTTCCACAAGAAAAATGAAATAAGTTTTGAAGAACACACAGCAGCCTCTGCCACAAAGGTCATTCTACAGGATTATGTGCTGTAAAGAACTAGATTTCTCTTGGGCCAATCTAATGGAAGTGTAATGTTAGACAATTGTCAAGAGGAGTTTCCGACCAGGGACTATCCTTATCAAATTATGGTTATTGAGAGAGAGCTCACTACATCCTTGGTTGGTTCAAGAATCCCCAAGTAAGATAGCAGCTCAGATATTTAACAGGTTCTAAAATGTAAGAGGGAGATGGGTGAAAAGGGCAAGAGTTCTCTACTCAGTGGATGAAGGCTTCACCATTGTCCACGGCCTCTCTAACCCACAGGTTTGGGATATTGATGGAGAACTCAGGTCTATCCCATTTGACAAATGGACTATAATTGTTTCTTATACTTAAAACCTGCTTTCTTCTCTCTCTGCAGTAACACTTTCAGCTGCTCCTCCCTCCTACTTCAGAGGATTCACATTAATTGCGCTCAAAGAGAACAGAGAGGGTGATAAGGAAGAAGACCATGCTGGGACCTTCCAGGTAAGACCCCCGCCTAGACTTATTGAGTGGCCCTTCTTGTCCTGGGAGGTAGAGACTGGAGAGGTATACCTGTCTCAGGTGGCTTTCCATGCAGTCCCTTGACCGTTGGCCAGCTGGGCAAGGTGCATTTGAAAGCATCATCATGGAGAAGGCAGCAAATGCCACACACGTATCTGAGCAAGTTTGGCCACTAGGTAGGTCTTGCTTTGTCTCAGCAGATCATGGTGCTCTTCTCTGGGCTCACAATGCCCTTTGGCAGCCAAGCGTGGGAAGAGCACTTGGAACCCTGGCCAGGCCTGGCTGTTTTGCCTGCACAGGCATTTCGTGACTGACTGGTTAATTCTCAAGTGTAAACGGAATAAGAGCTCAGGACTGCCAGGCTGGAGGGAGTTCAAAGCACAGGAGAAGGACTATTAAGGAAATGTAGAGATTGATTTATACGGGAAGATTAAAAGAACTAAACATGCTTTGCTTGGTTAAATGAACATGGCTGAGTTTAAGAGGTGGTAATGGTCTTTAAATGTCAGACCTCACAGAACAACCTCCTCAAGGGGAGGCTTCATTTGACTTTGTATGAAAGGGCACAGTAAGACAAAAGTGGGTCACGAAAAGAAAGGGAAGTGCACAGACAAGGACCCTGACAGTGAGTCATATTTCACTGTGGAATATTCTTCCAAGGGAAGTGGTAGGAACGTCATCCCCTTTCAGAGGTTTAGAAAGGAGCCGGCAAGTTGTCAGAACACATCCCAGAATGACTGGAGAGATTCTAGGAGGAGGCCTGGCCAAATTTGCTGTAACTACTTCTCATCTCAGATTTCCATTGTTCTGGAATTCATTTTTATCTGACATTTGCAAACTAAGAGAAAAAAAACTGAGGAAGAATACTTATACCCATAGCTGGCTGCTGGAGACTCTGGTACAATTTGTGGGCTCCGTAGAGCACCCTGACCCAAATACCTCGCCCATCCAAAGGCATGTTTTAATCCTTGTGGCCAGGTTGTAATTTTGAATCCTGTGACTTAAATTTTTTTTCTGTTATCTGGGATTCTAGGTTTTGGGCCTAGTGAGACTTAATTCCACACTCACTGTAATGTCCTTCTATGGCAACAAACCTCTTGGCATGTATCTGAAAGGGTGACCCAATAATAATACTAACAACAGCCAATATTTGTTGGATACATACCATGTGCCAGAACTATGTTAAGTGCTTTACTTTATCTTAGTTTACCCTGTCTTAGTTTAATGAGTTTATCTTTGTTTAATTCTCAAAACAACCCTAGTACATAGGAACTATTATCCCCATTTTTGGACAAGGAAATTGAAATTAGAGAGATTAAATCACTTGCCTAAGCTTGTTTAGTGCTTATTTCAGTCATTTTGTGTTGCTAAAACAAAACACCTGAGACTAGGTAACACCTGAGACTGGAAAGTCTACATCAAGGTACCTGCATCTTATGAGGGCCTTTTCTGCATTATCCCGAGGAGAAAGGCAGAAGGGTAAGAGAAGGTGAGAGCAAGAGGGGGCCAAACTCCCCTTTATAACAAATCCGCTCTCAAGATAACTAACCCACCTCCATGATAACGACAATCCATTCTCAAAGGTAGAGCCATCATGACTTCCTCACCTCTTATTAGGACCCACCTCCCAACACTGTTGCATTCAGGATTAAGTTTCCAACACATAAACTTTGGGGGACACATTGAAACCACAGGCACACTGTTGTGGCTAAACTCAGTACCTTGATAGTCCTCTCTGACTCACAGTTGTTTCTGCTCAGCTTAATCCTTGTTCTTGCAACTGATGGGTAAATACAGGGCCCTGCTCATAGTGGGCAGTGCATAAATATTTGCTGAATGAGTGGATGAACATTTGACTCTGCTAGTGTCCATACCTCAGTTCTGTTTGAGACTGTTGTAGAACTCCTATCTCTGTATGCATCCTCCCTTCTTCCTCCTCTTGGAGCTTCAGACATTCTCTCTTGTTCCAAAGCAGAGCTTCTCAGAATGCAGTGTCAGGACCAGCAGCATCAGCGCCACCTGGGAACTTGTTAAAAATGCAAAATCTCAAGCCCATCCAGACTTACTGAATCAGAAACTCTGAGGGTGGGGCCCTCACAACCTGTGTTTTAACGAGCCTTCAGGGTGAATCTGATGCATGCTCAGCTTTGGGACCCATTCTAATGAAACATAGACCAGTCCATCTAACAGGACGTCCTTCATCACGTCAACACATCTGTCTCTTCCTATTGTCTCATTGTTTCCACCAGCCCTAGAGGGATCAAAGTGGGATAAGAATATGAAAATGCCTAGCATATGATAACAACAATAGCTAACACTTAAATAGTGCTTGTGTGCCAGGCACCGTTCTGAGTGGTTTACATTTGTTAACTGAGTTAATCCTCAGAGCGACATGATGAGGTAAGCATTACTATCCAATTTTCTGCAGAAGAGAAACTTGTGGCAAAGAATAACTAAGTTACTTTCCAGAGATGCCCAGCTCTAAGTGGTAAAGCTGGGGTTCAAACCCCAGCAGTCTGTCTCCAGGTCCCTGCCTGTGACCATTGTGTACACTGTCTCTCAATATATACCCGTTAAGTGAAAAAATAAGGGCCCACTATGACTTTTGCAACAGTCTCTGTGCCAGGTGCTTTATATGCATTAACCTTCTTAATTCTTGTAGCAACCTTGTGTGGTCAGTACTGTTATCTTCATTTTTCATATGATGAAACTGAGTCCCTAAGGAGCTCAGTACATTCACCAAGACAGTCCAGCATCTCAAGGGTCCAAACACTGTGCCAGTTTCTTATTTCTCAAATGTCATCTCCTCACCCCTGCTCTGCCCTACCCTTGTGCTATCGAAATGCACACTCCCCCTGGGTTCCAATTGTCTCGCAGATTTGGGGAAAGGAATCATAGCCCATGCCCCTTATCTTACCTCTCTTATGATATGTGGCCCTTATGCTGTCCCTTCCAAATCTAGCATGAAAGCATTTTCTTACTGTACCAAAGCTGTTGTCTTTGAAGTCATTCATTTATTCAGCAGCATTTGTGGAGTACCTGCTGGGTGCCAGGCACTGATTTAGGCATTAGAGATAGGGTAGTGAGGAAAACAGAGAGATAGTCCTCACGAAGCTTAAGGCGTCCTCCTTGTCATTATCTCATAAATTGACCTCTGTTGCTGAAAGATGTGGCAGAAAGTCAACAAGCCATCCATTGAATCATAAGCAAACAATCGGAAAGGACAAGTGCCATTGTAATTAATATATATATATAGAGAGAGAGAGTGTGTGAGTGATTAACAAATAGAGATAGGTTTAACACGTTCGCTTCAAATATGAATTTGAGGGTTGCTAACAACCACAAAATTCTAATACCCTTTTTTTCATTGATGCATAATATTTAACATATTTGTTGGATACATGTGATATTGCTATATATAAAGAATGTGTAATGATCAGGCCAAGTACTTGAGGTATCCCATCACTTTGAATATTTTTCATTTCTATGTGATAGGAACAATTCAAGTCCTCTCTTCTAGCTACTTTGACATACACAATACATTGTTGTTAACTACAGTCACTCTGAATATTCTTCAAATTTAGTTAAAGATTACATTTGTGGCTCTAAAAGTGACTTTGAGAGAGAGTTACTTTGCTTCTTTATGAGTTAATCCTTATACAGAGAATACAGACTCTCAAAATACAAACACAACAACAGCAAATTTTAATGCTGCCTTTGTACCTCCTTAGACTTCGTGATAAGGGAATGGGCTTCCTGGTACCAGGGAGAGTAAGGGTTACAGCTCTCACCTCTCCAAAGAAGGCCAAGGGGAAGGGGGTGGGGCTACCTGCTCTGGCCATAACAGCAGGTTCCAGCACAGCAGCATTGGCACACACTAGATATCAGAAAACATAGAACCTCTCTTTCAAAAGATAGCTGATTCGGCAAAAGTGTCAAGGAACTCAAGGACCGGCAATACAAAAGTAACCCACCAATCCTTAAAAATTATATACTAAAAACTGCTCCCTGGAATGCTGTGGGCCAGCCAGCTGCCTGGCTCATTCTCTTGCCTCCTTCACGTCTCTGCTCAGTGATCCCTTTCCCAGGGAGGCCTGCCCTGATGACCCTATTAGGTATTTCATTCCTCCTCCCATTTCTGAGCTAGACTCTCTCTCTCCCTGACTTACTGTTTTCCCATTGCATTTATTGCCACCTGACATGCTATTTTACTTAATGACTTGTGTGTCATCTGTTACCTTCCACTGAACTATAAGCTCCACAAGGCAGGATTTTAATCTATCTTCAGAGTATCCCCAGCAGCAACTATGCCCAGCACAGGGTAGGCATATGAACATTTAGAGACAGAATTTTAAGCACAGTATTTGCCCTAAAAATTAAGCTACTAGTGTATAATACTATTCATTGCCTTGTTTTATTTTTAATTTAAGGCCTGTAGGCATCAACTAGTTTAGGTAACAGTCTACCATTCAAAGGAAAAAAGTCTCAAAAGGATATTTGCCTGAGAAGAGCCCATCAATACCATATAAACAAGTATATTTTAATAGTCTTCTATATTCATAATCACCTGTTTTTAAACTATTTTGTGATCTTTACATTAACAATAAATATTTAGTGGTATTTAATGGGTTCTGAGCCACGTTAGAACCTAAAAGGGCTTTTGATACGTTTTTCTAAAAATAACATGTGATTGCAAGCTTGTTCTCAGGAATTCTCTTTGAGTTCATAGGAAAACTTGCTCTTATTACACTAACCTAAGCTTAATCAAGCCCCTTATAAGATGTTAGGATTTTTAAATCTGCCATTCACTATTATAAATAATGGAGGCAAAACAGTTTCTTGCATAAAACTTTTTTTCTCACTTGGTGTTATTCACTAGGACAGATCCCAGAAGAGTAATCACAATGCAAAGGATATGGACTTTTTTTTTTTATTGTACTTTAGGTTCTGGGGTACGTGTGCAGATTATGCAGGATTGTTGC